TGTGGTGGTAAATCGCGAAGACGATGTCACCTGCAGCGTATCCATCTTCATGCTCGGCGATCGAGCGGTGAAGTTCATCATGGAGGATCGCGATGCCTGTGAATTTAGCCTGGTCCTAGGAGGCTACTATCGACTGCTAACAGGTAAGACATTATTCTGTTTTCTTTAGGGTTTCGATTCCTAATGGTTTCCTTGTCCCACAAGGTAACATGTTGAATATTCTGCGTGAACGGGAACCCCACGACGAAGACAATGCGCCTGGCTTCCTTTCGCAGCACACAGTGCTCCCAGCGGGCTGGAGCTACCTGTTGCCCTTCCATACGCGAGCACACAGCGTTAACTTCCTGATGACACCGCCCTATCATCCGCTTGTCCAGCGCGGTCAGCTCCAGCAGCAATCATCCATTCAGGCGCCACCATCGCTGCCCTATGCCATGGACCTGGACCTGCATAGCGTGATGGCCACCGAGCTGCTGGAGGAGGCAGCCAAGGACTCGGGATTGAGTGATAGCAGCGGCAGCAATTACTGCGAGGGACGCAGCCACTCGGGCAGCCACCAGCTGGAGGCGAAGAACGAGCAGGTACTCCGAAGGGTTCAGGAGCTTCAGCACCTGGTTCAGACCTCCGAGCAGTATCTGAGTGAACAGGAGCAGGGCGGTGGCGGCGGCGGAGGAGGAGGAGGCGTGACTATGCTGGAGTTTGACTCCGACTGCGACAGTCTCAACAGCAGCAAGGTCTCCTCGACGGAGGAGTCGCAGGGTGGTGTGATGTTGGGCTCGGGAGTAACCATTCCGCCAGGACATCCGCTCAAGCACAGCGATTCGTTGACCCTGCTGGCGGAGACCATTAACCACGAACTGAGTGGCATAACCCAGGGATTGAATGCCATTCCCGAAACGGCGCCAGTTTCCTCGTCCGCCCCCGCCACGCCTGCCACGCCCAAGCGGAAGCCCAGCCTGTGCAGCACCTCCAGTCCGAGGCCCCAACGGAAGCTCAATGGATTCAGCCAGCTGCTGAGCGACCTGCAGGCCCTGGGCACCGACTTCTCGCAGAGTGAGAGCGACTCGGAGTCCGTGGCCTCGCCGGCTCAGTCGCCGACAGCCAGGAGGCCGCAGATGATGCTGCTCCAGGCAGCCGGAGTGGCAGGACCTGGACCAGCTGCCAAGCAACCACTGTCGCAGAGGAGTAGCTTTGGTCTTCACAGTCCCGATGGCACGCATTTCGGGGCCGAAACGAAGGACTACAACCTGCGGGAGTATCTGTTGCAGCTGAAGGAGATTAGCAATGCGGCATCGGCGGACACCGATGTGGCAGCCCGCCAGCTGTCCGAGATTTATGGGTTCGAAGTGAGGGAGGATACCTTCATTGAAACCGATACGGATCTTATAGATCTACGTGCCATTCCGCCACCCCAAACGCCCGACGAACTGGACTCGCTCTCGCTGATGAATGCCGCTCCACCCAAGGGTTTCGAGGGCAAGGCCGAGGAGCTGGACAGTTTCCTGCAGCAAATAATGGTGGCACCACCCACACAAAAGGCCACGCCCGCCAAGGAGCTCACGCCCGAGGAGATTATGTCGTATATTATACCTCCACCTCCGAATTTGGAGCAGCAGCAACAGCACCAGTCGGTAGTGGCGCAGTCGGTGGTTCAGCCAGCGGAAACCGAGTGTCTGTACAGCAATTCCGTGCAGGCCAAGCGGGAGTTCTTCCAGTCGGTGGCCAATGGAACGGCCAAGAACGGCAGCAGTAGTCCGGCTCCCCATGTCATTGAATACGCCACCGTGGAGCGGAAGAGCAAGTTCAGCTGCTGTCCCACCAGCAAAAAGGAGGAGTTGCCGGATCCCGAGGAGCTGCAACCGCCGCCCAGGACGCCCACTTCAGAGCAACTGTCTCCGCCGCCGGCGAGGCCACCGAAAAGTGCCGAGCTCATGCAGCGCTATTCTCCCAAAAAGCAGGTGAGGATCGCGGCCAGTCCAGTGCAGATGCAGCCGCAATCGCTGGACCGAAGGGAGCTTGGGCCGCCCCAACTGCCGCCGCGCGGAAGTCCCACACTGGAGGGAGGAAATCCAAGTAATAGTGTCCTGGTGAGTGGTCCCAAGAAACCCCCGTTGCCGCCCATCGCCAATCGCCCGCGTCCTCTGAACGGAGTAACCAATCCTTCGTCACCTGGAACTGCAACAACCGCACAACCATCACCACCCGCCCACTATTCACCACCCATACCGGCCACCGTCCGATTGCCCCACTTGAACCAAACCAACGGCGGGACACTTCCCATGCTCCCCAAGAAACCGCAGCAACTGCACGGCGAGAAGCTGTTCATCAAGAACGGCCATCTGATCGACGGCGAGGCGCTGCTGGCCAAAACGGACGTGGCCATGTCGGGCCTCCTCATCAAGCTGGACCAAGTGGCGGCCCAGTGCTCGGCGGCTCAGGCGGCCGGCGGCGGCACCTCCATCGATGAGGAGAAGTTCCAGCGGGCGCGAAACGAGCTCACCGAACAGACTCTCGCCCTGGTGACGGCCAGCAAGTTCCTGGTGGCCTCCATGTCGGACATGACACTGATTACGCTGCCCGAACACCTCACCTCCTGCCTGACAGCCATCCGCAGGATCACCGAGCTGGCCCAGGACATGACCAGGCATACGTCGGCTCCTCTGCAGACGCGGAACATAGTGCTCAAGGTTCACGATGTGGCGAGCAGCTTCAGGGAGCTGGTGGGCGTGGAGATCGGACCCATTGGCGCCGGACAGTTGGCCCTGCAGGCCGAGTGTCTGGCCAATGTCCTGGCCACTCTCCTGCGATCGCTGCGTGTGTTCTCGCCATAACCCACAGAGAAGCAGGACAGCGACGGATCTGGCGAGGAAATCCCTGACAACAGCGGGGGCAGCCAATCCAACAACCATCCCGACATATCGCACGCTCGTCTCTCCATGTGTAAATCCCCTTACACCACCTACGTCTAGATGTGCAACGAGTCCTGTCCTTACTATCTAAACTAATATCCTGACAAACACCGTCTCTCGCAACCGATTTACAGGTAAAGGGCCGCGTCAGAGAGTCGATGGTCTGAGACGGCCCCTAGGCGACGATCGACACTGGAATGTGGAAGCTCAAATCGAGGAGATCGTGGGAGCATGTATATAGATCCTGGGGATAACTACATATCGCAGTCTTGGGACGAAATTTGTTTGGTTGAAAACAGAGCAGGGCACCGCATTTCGGAGCTCGTCATTCTTAAGCCAATATATATTACAAGAAAAATCATGTGTAATCCCAAAGACCATATCCAAATGTATCCCTTATCTATATCACAGAGGCCCCACATCGCCAAGGTCTCCCATAAAAAAAATATCTTTCTTAAATATAGTAAAATCGATTTATAAATATCTTTAAAAACAAATAAGAAAACTCAAAACAAAATCTCTCTCAAACTTAACGCATGCAACTAACTCGAATTTCTATGTAATCAACTATTTTTAACTATAACATATATATCACTCTCGAATTGTTAGTACTGCTCTCTGTATACCAAAATCCCCCAATCCGAACCCAAGAAACCAATATGTAACACCATGACTTGATTATCTAGACCAATTTATATGAGAAACTAACGGAAATATGTTTATTAAATTATGCTATTAGTATATTTTCTTATGTACATAATTTACACACATACCCAATACCATATATAATATACATACATATACAAGTACTATTAAATATTATTATAAAATTGACCAAACAATAATCAAAATTTTAACTTGTGATATAAAAAAATGAGTAAAAATGTAAAAGCTAAACAAACAAAAAATAATTATTAATTATTGAAAACATACAACTTTTACTTACGTTTTAACTGGACTTATTTAAATGTATGTTCTCTGTTGTTAAACAAAAAACGATACACCTTTTTTGTTATTGTTTATGTGTCATACCTTTTGTTGTAGTTGTTGGCGAAGAGTACAAGAATGCGCACTAAGTTGTAGCTTTAACTAATTATATTATTACAAATAGAGGATAATCCGTTGGAAGGAACTAATCGATGACTAATTGTTTTCATTTTGTTTACATTTTCCGTTGAAACCAACTAGCAAACACACATATGCATAACAAACATAACCATATGATATACATACAAGAAATATACAAGTATGAACTAAAATTAATAGTACGTATTAAGTAAAGCATATTCAAATGTACAATGTAAAACAATGTAACTGTTTATGATTTAATGAAACTAAAACAAATAATGCATATGAAATTGTATGGAATAAATTCAATAAATAAACCAAAGTAAAATAAATATAAAAACGACAAGCTGTGTCTTTTAAAGTGAGGTTTAAGTGAAATTAAATATCTAGAGAAAATCGTTAATTTGAATTTTTAACGTCCCGGTGCAACGAACCAGCGTTGCAAGACTGTTCGTGTACGAGCGACCAAAGTACCAGATCGTCCGTTGATGCGGTAATTTTACTGTAAAACTTAGTTTTTACATTTTACTTTGAAATTCAGAGTGACCAAGGGAAAATACCAAATATCGCAATTACGGTATTTTGATATACATACATTTTTACACTCTACTTGAGAATTCGACCCCAAGCATGTAAAACCCTGTTTTGACATTTTACCTTGAAATTCAGAGTGACCAGGTGGAAGATATCAAGAAATATCAAATAAAAATATCGCGATCGCGGGCAACAAAATGTCACATTCAAACACGTTCGTCGAACATTCTCTCTCGGTTCGGTTGCAACGGACCCGAAGGTGCTGCCGAAGCCTGCCGAAGCAGCGTTCGGGTCTCTCTCGAACATTTTACATTCTACATGAGAATTCTACCCCAAAAACGAGAATTCGACCCCAAGTATGTAAAACCTTTTGACATTTTACTTTGCAATTCAGAGTGACCAAGGGGAAAATATCACAAAATATCAAACAAAAATATCGCGATCTCGGTATTTGGGCAAAAAATACAAATTTAAGTATATATATAAACAACAACCCTAGCGCAAAAAAGCTTTTATTTAAAACAAAAACTGACGTCCGTGCCGCTGCGCCGCGGAAAATCGGAAAAGTCGTAGCTGGAAGCAAACAAATTCGCGCGCTGTTCTCGGCTCGCATCACCTGAAATCGAGGAGAAAAGCTATTTCCTGGCTGTCGGACGTTTCGAAAAACTCGGGAATCTGATTTCGTGTTGAATGCGGGACTCGAAGGCGTGTCAAGTGTTCTTGTGCGTGTTTTCTGGCTTCTAGAGCGAATAAAACGACCCGGAATTGCAGGAAATCGGAAAACGTAAGAGCAGCAAATTTTCGTCTTCCTCAACGACGGCGAAAAGGCTGAAGAAAAGTGCGCAAATACGAAATAAAGGCGAGGAAATACGGAAGCGAGGCAATAAAAAGTTCGGCGAAAACGCAATTGTTATATATTCTCGTCTTTTGTGCAACGTACCACACGTCAAAAAATAAATTACTTGAAACACAAAAATAAAGGAAGAGAACCAAACAACAACAACAACAACAGCGTCCTCAAGAATCTCGCTTGCTCTCTCGTCGCGCGCTCTCTCTCTCTTGGCGAAGGCGGAGAAAGAAGGAAAAGAGATAACAAAATAAATCTTTGCTGCCAAAACAATAAAAGAAATAAATAAACTAACTTATGCCAACGGATTAAGCCACGAAATGGAATACAAATTCATTGCTGTTTTCAACGCTGCGCGGGACAATAACTTGCCCCAATTGAAGGTGAGATTTTTGCCTGGGTCTCGTTCGAATTGGAATTTGTTGTTGCTGTTTAGAAATCTCAGCTGCTGTTGCTGAGACAGTGTTTTTTTAGCCTTGTGACTAATCAATAAAATTCTCTCAGCACACACACACACACACACGCAACAAGCTCTCTCGCCGTCTCCCTCTCTCCCCGCTAAGCCGTACACGCGCATGTTCTGCAGCAGTGTTGGTCGAAATACACTCCGGCCCACAATTATACAACACCCCGAAAATTTTAGTTTCGACATTCTTAAATTTCTTTTAGGGTGTTAAACTCGCCTGACTTAAGTAAACCAAATGTTTTCAATTAAATTCTAGTCTTGGCAACCCTAAAATTTGATATGGTGATCATTTATGAAGCGCTGGGTCTCTGCAATTCATAAAAACCCGATAATTTTCCATATTTTTATATAAAAATGTTAAATATTAAATGTTTTAAAAATTGAAGTTGTGGCGCGGCTTTTAGAACGGAGCCTTTCGGGGTGTCGTATAATTGTGGACAGGAGTGTATGCAATTGTGACCAGAAAAAAAAAGCTAAATAAACATAAGAGGACCTATGGTATTTTGTTAAAAGTAGTCCCGGTGCTTGAAATATTTAACAAACTAATTATTTGGAAACTAAAAAAATAAGTTAATAATTTTGAATAATAAATATGTCCATAAAAATGTAACTTTCGATTCGTAATTCAATTTAAAAATGGTATAATTTTAAAATGTTATTTACTTTTAAAATACATTTATACGAATCAAAATTTAAAAAATGTTTCAAAGGATTAATTTAGTGATTTTCACTAATTTTATCCACAAACTCGCTAAATGTCTTGCCTTCTGGCAAAACATTACGAAGTACTTATGGTTGTGGGCGTTTCGGATGCGAAACTTTTGCCTGCGACTGCAAGTCTTGCTCAGCACGCTCTTTGCATAACAAAAGTTCTTAAGTTTGGCCCAAGCTTTGGGGCGGCTTGACATTGGCAAACTAAGTAGAAACACAAACTGGCTGCAATTGGCTCTGTTGCATTGACGCTAGTTTCGCTATGGCCCCCACTTTAGTTATTGTTTTATATTTTTCAATTTTTTTGTTTCTTGTTGTGCCGCACTTTGTGGGTGTTTATTATTCAGTACGATTGTGTAAGCGCTTATTAGTATGTGTTTGATTCTAAGTTTAGCTAAGCCATAGTTTCTGTATGCGTCCGTGCCTGGCATTTCCATAAATTAGACGTGAAATGGAAATTGGTTCGGCCGAGCGAACTGCAACTGTGCTTTTTACAAAATATAATGAGAAAGGGTGCTCTTTTTGTGGTGCTTAAAGTCAAAACAACGTATTTGAATAAGTTCTTGGAGTCAAGGTGTTTTTATAAATAATCCAGGAACTATACCTAAAAGCGCACGTAGAATATAGTAATCAATCAAAGGAATATATAACAAGTTACGGGTTTTATCTTTTAAAGATATTTATTTCATTGAAATTACAAAAGCAAAACCTAAGCTACCATCTAATTAATGACATAAAGAGATCTTAAAATATTATTTTGTAGTATTTAATACTATATTCTAAATTTTTTAAGCTAATTATACATTGTTTTTCTTAAACCCTTTGCTTTGATTTTCTTTGCTTTGCTTTTCACATTTTCCACTACGCTTGATTCATTTCCTTTGAGGGCTTTATCTTATCAGCTCAGCGACTCGCTTTTTGTTATTATTTGTGCTTATATTTGTTTCTTTTACCGATGAGTGCTCCAAATGCGTAGCAAGTATTTTTAACCATTTTATTTATTTGTTGTTTTTGGCTTGGGGCCACGTTGTGTCACTTGGAACACGTTAATAACCGCCAGCGAATTTTAACAGCTGAAATCACGTCGTCAGCAGCAGCAGCAGCAGAGGGAGTTCACTTCCGCGATTGTCACTTGCCGTGCCGTTCTCCCCGTCTCTTTCGCCGGCCATACAACCCTCTCTTTCACTCTCATCCGATTCTGCCCCCAGAAACGCCTACAAGCGAACGCACTTTGCTTATTAAAATGATTATTATGCTGATCGCTGGGAACAAAGAGCCATTGCTCTGGGCTTTTGTCTCCTCCTGCTCAGCTTGGCTTCCTTCGGCAGTCGCTGGTGCTGACAATTATCCTTGAAAGCGTTCAATCACTCCAATTTGGAAGGCTCGACGCTCTGCACCGAGGGAAATAAATAACCAGTATATAGTCACGTTTTGTGAACCCGGAATTAAGCTTTGCTTTTATAATCAATTTAAATCTGTGATATATTATTAATAATATATTTTATTAGAAAGAAACTAGTTTATCTAAATTGATTGAAAATAATTATTTAATGCCTTAATAACATGTTTGAAAACCAGATCTAATAAAACTAATTCTTAAAGCGGAATAACAATCGATAAAACATGAACTTGAACTTGAAAAGTACTTCATATTAGATAAAGTGAATGCCCAAAGATAAACTTATAGGCATAATTTCCGTTTATTAGCATTACTCAATCGAATTTAAGTTTAATTTAAAGCTCACAGTTTTTTCCCAACTGCACCAAAGAGCTGGAAATTCCTGTTCGTTCTCGGTTCTCGGTTCTCGGTTGGTTTCGTTTCATCAAAACTTCCTGACTTTACCGGGGCTCGACCCTGGAAATGTGTCATTTAAGGGGTGTGAGTTTTCGGCGGTCGTTCGAATGGAAGAGACCGAGTGCTTGTTCGTCCCCCTACAAATGGAATAAGTAAATATATAAATAATATATACGTACGCTTGCGGAGTGCCCCGAAATAGCTTTATTTTTTTTGTGTATGGGCTGCTGCATTCAATGCTCCAAATGCGAGAGGGAGCGAGGCAACCAGCTCCGTGGTTCGACGTGCAACATGTTCTAGCCTTCGCCCCATAGAACTGGTTTTTCTGGCTCGTTGTTGTTTATGTTTGTTCCAAAAATAAGAAAAAACCCCCCTCGTCACAGAGGGGAGAGAAGACAACAACAACAACAATAACAAGAACAACAAAAAACTTAACGCACAGAAAACACCTTACCGAAGAGTTTGGACAACGCCGTCGTACACGAAGTTGAAGTGCCACTTAAAGTTGAGTACACACAACGAAATATTTCTGCGTTCTTCCTCCACTTCTACTGCTTCTTCTCCACTTTGCTTGGGGTTTCGTCTTTACGCTACGTGATATGGGGCCGGATCGCATGATTGATGGTCTTGCGGGTGGAGGAGACGGGGAACTAGACCAACTCTGATCTCTCGATAACTCAATAGAAACTTTGTAGAAACTTTGTCCGGTGAAGCGGGCTAAAATTTTTTAACTTTTGCAATTCCAAGTGAAAAGTATTTTTAGAACACTAACTAAATGACTATCTATTTAACATATTTCTTGTATATATCAAACCAGTATTTCTAATTCGTATAATTTTACATTTTTCATCAGAGCAATTATTAATTATTCTGTATAAATTAAACATTTAACAACACACGTGTCGCTTTAATTTCCCCAGTAGTACTGCTCAAAAGTTTTCACCTTGTAATTGTTAATATTATACATTTCATTGAGCTGGTAAACTTTAACCCTTGGGCAAGTTGTTTATCTAAGGTTCAACGACTAATTTCTGGTATAACTGCCTTAAATGAAATTAATTACGGTTAACCTTAGGATTGCTGGGTTCAATGATCTTGATTCTTTAATTCTCAAAAGAGAACAGAGAACCCAGCAATAAATAGTATACAATTTTCGATGGGATAGAAACCAAGTTTGTTAACTAACTAGTTCTGAAAGATGTTTATATTGTCTGTAAACTTTACTTAGTTAGTTGGAAGTACTTTAACCATTCGTTTCAGCTTAAATTGGTTACTTTTGATCAACCTTGCCATCATAAGCAATTGACCAAAAACTGATTAATTATTCTCATTTGAAACTCATTAGAGTGGTTGCTGTTCCTTGATGATTTTAATTACATGCAAAGCAAAACTTGAAAAGTCCGTTCCAATTTAAGAAAAAAAAAAAAACGTTTTCTCAGCGAAACACACTTCAATCAGGCAGCGTTTCTCGAGCGTTTTCAAAACATTTGCCAAGGCATAACATTAAAGATAATTCCATGTACATTTAGTTATTGGTTTTTCTCATTTACTGTTCGCTTTTCGTTTCTTTCTTGTGTTTCGTCGGAGGTCTATGCAAAAAAACCTACAAAACGAACACTAATTTTGGAGTTGGTCAACAGCTGTTTCTTATTTTTGGGGTTGAGGTTGATTCTTGTGCTTTGCAATTCAGTCGTTTGCCGGTTTGTTGAAATAACCCCAAAATGCAAAATATGTTTTTCTACATTTTGTATATATCTTTTATTTTTTACTTCGATTTTGTTTGAGTTTAGCGGCGTTTTATTGCCTTTGGCTTGGGCTTGGGACCTGCTTCTCCTTATTTTTGTTTTTACGTGAATTTTTTTTTTATTTTTCTACTGGCTTGCCATTTAACTGCTTCTTGATTATAAGTTTTCAACGGTGTGTGTAAGGTCAGAGCCAATCTTGCTGGTTTACTTTGACTCCAATTCTCCATGGATGTGGATGTGGATGTCGGTGTGGTCTTTGTCATTCGCTGGCTCTGTGGCCATTGGTCCCAGTAAGTCGAGAATATTTACCCACATCAACGAGTCTTTAACAAGTGCGCTCAAAGAAATAGCTGCCACAAAGATAGAGATTTTTATATTTATTTATTTAAAAAATACTCGATATAACCTCCTATTGTTGTTATAATAAATAAAATTATTTTCTACTTCAAAATTGTAAAATGTTATCTTGAAACAAAAGAAAAGGTTATAGCAATTAAGGACAGTTTATTGTCCAATAAGATTTCTTTTGGTTACAATTTAAGAACCATTTCCCTAACACTCTGACCGTTGCTGTATGTTGTATTTTGTATATATAGTATGAGATATAGAGCCCAAGCATCTGTAGCCACGAGAGGAAGCCAACAACAACAGCAAACGAGGAAGGGC